CCTTGGGGCGCCATGGGGAGCGCGGGGTAGATCCGGGGCACACGGGGGGGCTCAGGGGGGAGCTGGGCGGGGGTCTCGACCCCAAATTCCCGACGGGCCGGCGGCTCCATCTGCACACAGGCACGGACAAACTCCTCCTTCACCGGGCGCGGGGGGGGCACTGGGGAGGGCGGGGGGACACACCGGACACCATGGGGGGGCTGTGGGGGGCTGGGCTGGCTCTGGGGAGGGGGGTGGGGTCCCCACCGGCCCCGGGCCGGGGTCTCACCTGGGCTCTGGATGCTCAGACCTGCGGGAGAGGTGGGCACGATTAGGGGTGTTGGTGACCCCCCCCCCTTTGGCGAACCCCCCACCGGGGGTCCCGGGGGTCCCAGCTCACCGCCACCGGGGGTCCCCACGCGCTCGTAGTGGTAGGGGTTGACACAAACGCTGTCGCACTTGAGGTCGAAGGCGAATCGGCAGAATTTCACGGATTTCAGCTCGTTCTTGTGCAGGTCGGGCCAGCGCCAGAGCCGCGCGTAGATGACGTGGGGGAACCCCTTCCTGCCCGCCACCTTTGGGTGGGGGGACACGGCGACACCAAGGGCGTTGTGTCCCCTCCCCATGGTGACACCGGGACCCCCCCTCAGACCCCAGCTGGGTCCCCCCCCCAGCTCCCCCAGACATAAAAAACCCAGAACCCCCCCCAAGGCTCCGGGGCTGCCAAATCCCGACTCATGAGGGAGGTGCGCGAGGGGAGGGGGGATGCGGGCAGGGCCACCCCAAAACACCCAGGACCCCCAAATTGGGGAGGAGTTACAGGGGGCAGGACCTGTGTCCCCCTCCCCAGCCCCGTCCCCGTGTCCTGGGGGCACCTGGAACCGCCCGTCCAGGTACCCCAAAACACCCAGGACCCCCCCCAAATTGGGGAGGGGTTACAGGGGGGTGTCACAGATCACCTGTGTCCCCCTCCCCATCCCCGTGTCCCGGGTACCTGGAGCCGCCCGTCCAAGGTGCGCTGGACGGTGACACACTGGCCGGGCTGGGCTCCTCCGGAGGTGACAGCGGCCACCAGCGCGTCCAGCTCGTCCCTCTTCTCCTTGAGTTTCCTGAGCAGGCTCTGGATGGCGCGGCGGGCGAAAGCCTCGCTGTCCCCTCCCTGCCGGTGGCACAGCAGGCTGTGCACGATGGCAGTGCCACTGTCACTGCCCAGGGACATGGCGCTGCGGCCCTGCAAGGCACACGGAGTGTCCCTGCGTGTCACCCGGCTGCAGGGGACAACGCTGTCCCCACCCTGCTGATGGGTGCTGGCACGTGTGGCACCGGGAAGGTGGCACTGTCCAGGTGACAAGGACAAAGCCATCTGTCACCCAGTGCCTGGCTTCCACGCTCCCAGAGTTTATCCCCAGCCCTGTCTCCATTTTGGGGGACACTCGGGGTGTCCCCAGCCCTGTCCCCGTCTTGAGGACAATGTGTTTACAGTGACACTCGAGGTGTCCCCAGCTCCCCAGAGCAGCACAGCCAGACCTGGATGGTGGCACGGTGGCATCAGGCTCGGGGACAGCGGTGTCCTGGCAGGGAGCGGGGCTCTGCCCGTTCCCGGTGCCACGGGGACGGAGCCGCTCTCGCTGCCGCCGCCAGCCCAGACTAAACAGAGCCCGGCCTGGCGCCGCTCCTTAACCCCTGTGTCTCCCTTTGCTGCCTCCCTGCCAGACCCTGCTCACGCCAGAGCCCGGCTGCAGCGTTCCAGAGCCTTGGAAAATCCTTGCGATGGCGGCAGACACAACAAACCGCGGGTCCCTGCTCTTATCTGGGGCTGGCAGCGAGCCTGGGTGTCCTGCCAGGACCCTTCCCCCTGTGCCGGGCTGCTCCGTCACGGTGTGGGGACAATTCCAGGGATGCTGCAGGGACCCCACGGAGCCCCCCCGAGGTGGGGGTGAGACCCTCAGCCCCCCGCCAGGCTCTGGGGTTCATCCCGGGGTTCTCATCCCTGGTGCTGCTTCAATTCTAGCATTCCCTGATCCCTGCCCAGCCTCTGCCTCGTGTTTTGGGGCTAAAAGCGGTGGAAGAAGGGACTTGGGGTCCTGCTGCCCCCAGCTCCAGTGGCTGCACCCCAAAGCTGCCCCAGGGAGGACTGGAATTGTCAGAGCGCTCTCTTTGCAAAGCTCAGCCCGGTCTGGTTTGGTGGAACCCGGGCTGAGTGGGGGCCAGACCCGGCTTGTCCCCAGCTTGTCCCCAACTTGTCCCCGGCTCCATCCTCACCCCTGCCTGGAGAATCCCAGGCGGATCCCATGTCCCAGAACTCGCCCTACAGGGATGTTTGTCCACCAGGATGTCCCAAATGCGACCCCACGGGGGACGGGGAGGTGGCAGGGATGGCGCAGGGGTTTTGAGGGGTGACAGGCGTCAAGGAGGGGACAGCAGCGGGGGGACCGGGGATGGGTCAGGCTTTACTCACCTCCGCCAGTCCCGGCTGCCGTCACTCGCGGCCCGGCTGCCACCGCATCCTGTCGGGCTCACGGGGGTGCTGCCCTGCCCTGTCCTGTCCTGAGACCCCCGCCCTGTCCTGGGATCCCTGCCCTGCTCTCAGACCCCTGCCTTGTCCTGAGACCCCCGCCCCGTCCTCAGCCCCCTGCCCTGCTCCCAGCCCTCTCTCCCTTCTCCCAGCTCTCTCCTTTCCTTCTCCCAGCCCTCTCCTCCCTTCTCCAGCTGTCTCCTCTCTCTCCCAGCCCTTTCCCTTTCCCCGTTCCCTTTTCCCGTTCCCCTTTCCCAACTCCGTCCCTACAATAACAAAAGGAGCGGCCGGAGCGCGTGAGGCGCCGCCGCGCCGCAGCCAATGGCAGCGCCCGAGACAGCCGGGCCGAGCCCCGCCAGCCAATCACGGCCGCGCTTTCATGGCCAGAGCACCCAGACGGGCCCCGCCCCCGGCGCCGCCGGGTCCCGATCCCACCGGGAACGGTGCTGGTCCCGGTCCGGTTATCCCATTGGGAACGGTGCTGGTCCCGATCCCGGTCCGGTTATCCCATTGGGAACGGTGCTGGTCCCGGTCCGGTTATCCCATTGGGAACGGTGCTGGTCCCGGTCCGGTTATCCCACCGGGAACGGCGCTGGTCCCGGTCCAGTTATCCCATTGGGAACGGTGCTGGTCCCGGTCCGGTTATCCCACCGGGAACGGCGCTGGTCCCGGTTATCGCACCAGGAATTCTGCTGGTCTCGGTCCCGGTCCCGGTTATCCCCTGGGAATGCCGCGGGTCCCGGTTATTCCACAGGAAATTCTGCGGGTCCCAATCCTGGCCCGGTTATCCCACCGGGAATGCCGCGGGTCCCGGTCCCGGTGGGTTCCCGGTGGCCCCAGCCCCGCATCCCCTCCTCTTCCTACTGCCCCAAACTCAGAACAATCCCATTGCCAGAGGAAAACCCCACACAGAGCTTTGGGAATTCTGTCTCCTTTTAAGTTACCCGAAATGCGAGATCCCAAGGGAACAGGAGCAGGCACAGAGCAGGAATCGTGGAATCATCAAATCATGGAAGGGGTGGGTGGTAAAGGCACAGACCCTTTGGGGACTCTGGATTCCTTTTTTTGTCTTAAAAATGATGGATTTTGGAGTTTGTTCTGGAAAAGAGGCATTTCCACTGTCCTGGCTGAATTTTCTGTCCTCGCCTCTCATTTTGTTAAACACTTGAACCACACAGAAATGAACTCGAACTTCAATCCCCCAAAATCCACCAAAACCGGGAAGTTTTCCACCTGCTCTGTCCCCTCAGGAATTTTTGGTGCAGAACAAAAGGAGCCGAGTGTCTGGAAGGAGAACAGCAGCCAGACTCGGGCTCTTCCTGCTGGAATTTGGCTTCAGGTGGGTTAAGCTCAACTCCAGCTGGGAACTTATTCCAAAATGTACAAGGGCTGATCCCCAAAAAAACCTGATCCCCAAACCATGGATGATTTCCAAGCAGCAGATTCTCCATGGCAGATCCATCCCACTGTCCTGGTTGAATTTTCTTTCCCTGCCTCTCATTCCTTTAAACAAACATTTGAACCACACAGAAACATTGTGGCAAAAGAAAAGTCGAACTTCAACCTCCCAAAATCCACCAAAACCGGGAAGTTTTCCACCTGCTCCATCCCCTCAGGAATTTTTGGTGCAGAACAAAAAGATCCGAGTGTCTGGAAGGAGAACAGCAGCCAGACTGAGGCTCTTCCTGCTGGAATTTGGCTTCAGGTGGGAACTTATTCCAAAATGTACAAGTGCTGATCCCAAAAATCCAACAGCCAATCCCCAAACTCAACAAACCCATCCCCAAAACTGAACCACGGAGCTCCAGAGGCACAAAAAACACCTGGATCCCCAAATCATGGATAATTCCCAAGCAACACATTCTCCATGGCAGACAAAAATAGTTTACCACCAGGGAAAAACCACCCCAAAAAAATAATAAAAAAAAAAAACCCCGAAAGAACAATCCAAAAAAAGTTTAATACAACAGAGAGTATCAAAACATCCAAGAACACACTAAGCCAGAATTTCCCCTCGGGAGCCGACGGAACGAGCTCCCCCCCCTCCCCTTCCCGGTAGTCCCGGCCCCTCAGTCGGTGGCCTCGGGATCCGTCTGTGCCATGTACGCGTCCAGCTCGGCGTCCAGGTGTCCCTTGGTTTTGGACATGTACGCGTCCAGCTGGTTGTCCAGCTGCTCCTTGGTGAGGGCGGGCCTTGCCGAGCCTCTGCCGCGGCCCCGGCCCCGGCCGCGCCCGCCGAACCCGCCCCGGCCCCGGCCGGCCATGCCGCGACCTGCGGGGAGACGGGGGACAACGCCGGGAAACACCGGGAAACAAGAAACAGGCACTGACTGCATCCCGGGAAACAAGAAACAGGCAATGATTGCATCCCGGGAAACACCGGGAAACAAGAAACAGGCACTGACTGCATCCCGGGAAACACCGGGAAACAAGAAACAGGCACTGACTGCATCCCGGG